GCAACTTAGATCCTGTCTGAAAATACAAAATAAGAAAGACTGGAGATGTAGCTCAATGGTAAAGTGTGCCCAAGTTTCAATCTCCTGTGTCCCCTCCCCCCCAAAAAGTGTAACAGATGCTCAGCACTTTAGGTCTGAACATGGTGATGAATGATCCATCCTGGCTGAGGTACTCTAGAGTCAACCTGTTATCCAACTACCTTCCTTCTTTCAAAATAATTTAATTTATGATTTACCTGTGTCCAGAAGTTATGAGAGCAAAGCTAGGTGTATTCTAGCGGGACTGTCTCAATCCATATAAATAGGTTGTCTGAGTTAGCAAAAATAGAGAAAACAAAAAGACCCAAGATATTAAATGAGAATTTCAGAAAAAAAATTTTTCAAATAAATATATTCCAAATATTACCAGGGACACGCTTACACTAATTTGTCCTAAATTTTATCTGGAAGTGCTAATATAACCCCATAAATGTTTAGAAAATTTACTATCTAAAAAAAAAAAAGGGTCTTGGTACAAAGTCAACAATCTATTTAAGAAAAAGAAGATTTGCCCGGCACAGTGGCGCACACCTATAATCCTAGCAACTCAGGAGGCCGGGACAGGAAGATTGTGAGTTCAAAGCCAGCCTCAGCCACTTGGTGAGGCACTTAGCAACTCAGTGAGACCCTGTCTCTAAATAAAATACAAAAAAAAAAAAGGGCTGGGGATGTGTGGTTCAGTGGTTAAATGCCCCTGAGTTCAATCCCCAGTACCAAAAAAAAAAAAAAAAGATTCACTTGGGGAGGTTTTAATAGACTATTTATACCAGTAAAATGCTTTATTTATGAATATTGTTTTGTATAATTAACTTGGCTAAAAATATCTTCCCAGAGGAGCCAACTCTAGGAAAAAGTATATTTAGAAAATATGCATATATACAAATTTGTTTTGTTTCTGGTACTAGGGTTCTAACCCAGGGCCTCCCACATTAGACAAGCTACATCTCCAGCCCTTTATAACTGTTACTTTGAGACAAGCTCTCACTAAATTGCCCAGACTGGCTTCAAACTTTGGATATTCTTGCCTCAGCCTCCCAAGTAGCTGGGATTGCAAGCATGTGGCACCATGCCCAGCTCTATTTTAGAAAATATTCTACACTATCTAATACATACAATTAAAAATATTTAAATAAAATATTTTAGAAAAAAAAATGCATCCCACTTTGGAGAAGTATATGGTCCCGAGTTTGACTGTTGATTTGTACAGTTGTAATTCTCTCAATGGAAAAGAAAAATATGCAGATCCTAATGATGAATGGTAATAAGGCAAATATATTCAGGATGCACTGAAATACAGCCTCAACAATAAGGAAAAAGTGAGGAAATACTTGTCTACAATATATTTGCAGAGTTTGGACTAAGGATAGGGATAAAACACAGCCAAAATACAACTTAGAATATAATGGCAATAGCTGGGCGCAGTGGCACATACCTGTAATCCCAGTGGCTGGGGAGGCTGAGACAGGAGGATTGCGAGGCTGCTAAGCCACTCAGTGAGACCCTGTCTCTAAAATACAAAATAGGGCAGGGGATGTGGCTCAGTGGTCAAGTACCCCTAAGTTCACTCCCCCATGCCCCCCTAAAAGAATATAATGGCAGTAAAAATGAACTGATTACATCTAATTCAGAGTACACAAAGGAGATCATGTTTGAGAATAATAGAAAGATGCTACTCAATGGATAACTAAGATTCTATTATATAGTAAAGATGAAACAAAATTTCATGTTTAATAGATGAAAAGTTGAACAGATTCAAGGATTTCAATAGTGATTATGGTAGGTTGCTATTAATAAAATGAAGATTTTTTTTTTTTTTTTTTTGTACTGGGGTTTGAATCCAGGGCACTTTACCACTGAGCTACCTCTCTAGCCCTTTTAAATTTTTGAGACAGGGTCTCACTAAGTTGCTTGGGGTCTCACTAAGTTGCTGAGGCTGTCCTCAAACTTGCAATTTTCCTGCCTTAGCCTCCTAAGGTTGGGATTACAGGTATGTACCACTGCATCCAGCCAGAAGAAAGTTTTTAAAATATCTTTTGCATATAGCTCTTTGGTTTCAAAAAGATAAGTTCTCTGGGGAATTGTTTTGTATTTTTCTCATATCTTGACAAAATGTTGTGCTTGATGCATGGAAAGTATGATTATGGATTGCAAATGTAGTTAAGTGGTAGAACATTTGCCTAACATGTTTGAAATCCTGGGTTTGTTCCCCAGTACCACTCACATACACAAAAGTACATGATTAATTTCAAAATATAAACCTTATGAATCATCTTCTATTTATCATTTAATACGTCCAGTTTGTATCAGGTCCTATACATTTTCAGCATCTTTCAAGAATATTCTCTTTGAACACTTTTCTTTCTAGGCCTTTGTTTTTCTTACCCAGTTTGGTACTCCTACATTTCTTAAAAGCTGTGTTGTGTTTGCGTTTGTTACTAAGTATCAAACCCAGGGTTTCATGCATTCTATGCAAACACTCTACTACTGACTGAGCTGCATCCTAAGCTCAAGACTTTAATTTCTTAAAACCAATAATATTTCACTAAAAATATCCAACTACATATAGAAGGGCACCTCTATCTTTTAGAGATGGCAGAAAGCCATATTGTTCTTTGAGAATATTTTTCACATTAAAGACCATCTGAGATAACGTGGAGTGTTTAGGGTTGGTCAAGGTGAGGCAAAGAGTATGAAATGACTCTTCAAATTTTGGTTAGAAAACTAGAAGTCCATTGTGGTGTGGAAAATTAATCAATATGGTTCATCTAAAGTCATCTTAGACCATGTATCCACTAGCCATGTATGTTACCATCTGAAAATAACTGGCCTTTGGTATTATGGAGTGACCTATTGAAAACAGCCATAATGCTGGTTGCAAGACATCTTTTTTGATGAAGTACATTGTTTGGTTGCATTGGTTCAGGGTTAAGATAGTCTCATTATCCTTATATGAATATTTTAGGATTCAAGGGAGAAATGTTTATACTAGAGAACACAACCCCTAGTCTATTGATTTCTGAAGACTGAATATTTATTTTCTCTCATGTTCCCTTTTCTCTTTTTTTTTGTGGGGTGGAGGCTTATATTAGGGATTGAACCCAGGGTGTTCTATCACTGAGCTACATCCCCAGGCTTTTTTATTTTGAGACAGGGTCTCGCTAAGTTGCTCAGGGTCTCACTAAGTTGCTAAGGCTTGGCCTCAAACTTGTGATTCTCCTGTTTCAGCCACCCAAGTAGGTATATTTCTTCTTTTATTTATTTTTTTTTTTTTGAATTTTTAATATTTATTTTAGTTTTCGGGGGACACAACATCTTTGTTTGTATGTGGTGCTGAGGATTGAACCCGGGCCGCACACATGCCAGGCGAGAGCGCTACTGCTTGAGCCACATCCCCAGCCCCGATATTTCTTCTTTTAAATTGCTATTTTTTTCTGGGCACCATGGAGCAAACCTGTAATCCCAGCAACTCAGGAGGCTGAAGCAGGAGGATCACAAGTTCAAAGCCAGCCTCAGCAATTTAATGAGATGCTGTCTCAAATTTTTTTAAAAAATGGGAGAGGGGCTGGGGATGTGGCTCAGTGGGTAAGCCTCTGGTTTCAATTCTTGATACAAAAAAAAAAAAAAAAAAAGAAGAAGATATTTTGTCTTATTTTTCTTTCTCCCATTATTCTACAGAGCAGGTGAATTGACAATCAAGTCTACCTTTAGGGATCATGAAAAAACAATAGGGTAGCGCTTCAAGACTCAGTCATTATGTTTGCTTTCTCATAAATTGTAGCTCTTTCACACAGTTGATCTGACACAGGACACTGGGTATCTGTGGCCAATGCCTAGAGCTCTGTCATATCCTGTGGTTTTCAGTGTTCATAATTTCTGTGTTGGCGGGGCGAGGGAGGGGCCCTTTCTGGTCCACTGTTTGTAACTCCTAGTGCAATGTTGTTTGAAGGCAAAAGACGTATTTACAGGCAATTAAAGACATAAAACGAGTTCCTGGAACTGTTTTTTCACAGTATTAAAAAATGATAGCCTCTCCCCAAATGTCCTAACTTAATAAAGCCGTATTTAGAGGAGTCTTGCTCCCTGCTAAGTAAGGGACATCCATAATTACCCAGTGATTTCAGTTAATTCTGTGCTTGCTTTTCCCACTTCAAAAAGATATTTCCTCACTTCCTAAATTTACTTCCATGAACTTCTGGGGAAAATTTGGGGGGGGGGGTCCTGGTGTTTTGGTGGAAAATGCCAGATACAAGTGAGGACATACAAAGTAAAACTATTTCCGACTGCTGTGGAATATCTAAACGCACGACTCTTCTCCCACAGGCTGATATTATTGGGCTGTTCTGTTTTCTTGGATATCATGACATGCAAACGTCTTGTTTAACCCGTTTTGGTCAATTAGCACAGGCTTCTTTCTTGTAATGGTCAAGCGGTCTGCTGAGCCAAACTGCCAACTAGAACGTTTTGCCGGGCTCTCAAATCCTGGTGAGAACGCAGGCACAGACTGCAGTTCAGGGTCGTGCGTTCCAGTTCCAGCTCTAAGTAGCTTTGAGGCTGCTTTATGCGGGATCCTGGTTTCCTTTTTGTAAAATGGGGGTGAGAGCTGGTTTCAAAAGGTAAAGCTGATAGCAGTCTCCTGATTCCCGGAGTTGAACCACAAAGTAGCGGAATGTACGTTCCCGCCCACGTTTTTGGAACTGACGCACAAATTGAGGGTTTGCGGTGGGCCTCACAAACCTCGCTTTCCCGGGGAGGGGATGGGCGGGCCAGGAGCACCAACCGTAGGCAGCGCCCCCGGCGTCGAGGCTCCTTCCTGCCAGCGCAGGCCCAGGCGTCCCAGCGAAACGCTCCGGCCGCCCGCCGCTCCCGGCACTCTAGTTCCTTGGCCGCCCGGGGGAACGTGGTTGGCAGCGACACCGGAGGGGGGCGGGTCAGGAAGTAGGGGCGCGGCGGCCGGGAGTGGGCCAGGGGCCGCGGAGTTGTTCCACAACGCGAAGGGAGTGAAACTCCGAGGCGCGCGGGAGCCGGACGGCCTCCCGGGTCTCCGCGGAGACGATGGCGGAGGAAGAAGGTGATGGCGCCAGTGCCGCCAGTGGACTCGGGAAAGGGGCGGGGATGCGAGGGGCCCGGAGGCCTGGGCTGCTGGCGACCGGTGGCTGGGGCCGCGCAGGGAGGGCGGGAAGGAACGGGCGGGGGAGTTCGCGGAGAAATTCTCGAGGAGCCGAGTAAATGGCCCGAAGTTTCGTCTTCCGAAGTGGGGAGCAAAGGTGGAACCTAAAGTTGGGCGTCTGCAACGCGAGAGAGAGCTGTGGGGGGGAGTGTTTGAATTGAGGGTTATTAGCAGATCATAAATGGAGTGAGGGACATAATTGGTTTAAAAGATGTAGGATTAGGTACAGAAAGGATGTTTGAGTGTGATAATAGTTTAACCAGATGCCCCGCATTCTGAGCGCGCTCATAAGGGTTTGTGGATCATGACAAACACAAAGTCGCAGGGTGAGGGGACTCATGCCACTCGCAAAGAGTCAGGGGTTTAGAATAACATGGTAAGATGAATTGGGAGGAATTGGGTTGTAGAAAGCTTTCCATAGCTCCTCAGGACCGGTGCCAAGAAAATTCAGCCAGCAATATGTATTCGCAGAAAAGTATAGATAAAATAAGAGTGGAAAACTGGGAGAAACTTAGTTAATGGTAGAGAGCATAAGGAAATATTCATACCCTTCTAAGTTTCGGAAACAGGCATACATGGTAGGTAGGTCACTTGATTGACCAGTTAGATTTTGCATTCAGTTGGAAAACACGGTATTTTTACCTTTTTGAGTAGAGTTATGAATGTGATAGAAAGCTGATCTAATTTAGATTTAAGCCTTTTTGAGCCAAGAGTGTGAGAAGGGAGTTTGAAGAATTCGGTGGGAAGCAATTCAAAATAAATAAAGACTAAGGGTAAGAAGTGTTTATTACTCTGTGACTTGCTGCCATCTCCCAATACTCATGCTTGCTTCACACATACCTCCTCTTCCTTGAGTTTTCAGGGTTAAAGCTAATCTAAATGTAAGACGTTCTACCTAAAGCAGCTTCAAAACCAAAGTATTTGTGGTTGGTAAGGAAGAATGTAATCCTATTTGTTTCCTTGGTTTTTCTGTGATTGCATTACGTTATCATTTTTAATATTTCCTTTTATACTTTGCTTTTCTGACTAGCTGCAAATCTCTGGGAGTAGGTTGATAAACTAGCTTTGTTTATGCATGAAAAAAATTCTATAATACTTAAAGTCTAATGTACATTGTGCAAAAAAGTTATTTAAGAGATTATAGTTATGCCTAACTAAGTAGATATGTTGTGGAACCAGTGAAAATAGTATAACCATTTTGTCAAATTTACTTGGATATAAAATGGAAAGTGATTTTTGATTTTAGAATTACAGGTGACCCAAAAACAATTAAATGGAACAATTAGTGGTTTACAGTTTTATTAAAGCATAGTTTCATTCAACAAATGTTTAATTCCATAAATATTTGTGCCCCTCTCATGTTAGATTCTGAGATATAATATCAATGGTGAATAATTAAATTCTCATTTATTATAATAATGCTCTGATGATAATATTTTTAGCAGACATGTCTTTGTGTCAGGCATTATTCTGGGTACTTTCCATTTACTTGGCACTCAATTTTTTCAAAACACATCATATTGTATTCATTGTGTTAAAATTAGTCTGGTCTACATATTTTACTTGTATCTAGGTGTTATTTTGTTATTTATGTCTTTTTTTTTTTTTTTTTGCATATTCACATTCACTTGGATCCTCTTCTTTCTCTATATGTTTCTATAAGTAAATACTCTATGTGAATCTGATCTACCAAAATATGACTTGCTTGATGCAGTAGAGGGTCAGGTGCTTATATTTCTACTTCCTTAAAGAAATATTAGAGCAAAGAAAGAAGCAATAAACTTTGAGTAGAACAGTGTTAATACTTCACTTGGAGATTGCTATGTATAGTCTGGATGGACATTCACAAGCCTATTTGTAGCCTTACTATTTCATATGAAGATCCTGGACCAGATTCTGAAATAGCAGATTATTTTTGTGGGTATGTAATCATCTTCATTTAGTTTGACTTTTCTTTACAATGCTAAAAATGTAACTAGTAAAAATGAAACTTGAGCTTCATTCCAGAGCTTTCCTATCAGAACTGATAATCAAGTTTGTCCATTGCTTTGGCCTTTGCAGTTTTCCCACCTAGAGATGCCTAACTCTGTGGGGTTTCTTTTGGGGTCAGTGCTGGGGCACCAACCCAGGGCCTAAGCACTCTACCACTGAGCTCACCACTGAGCATTTCCCATCAGTGGCTTTGTCTTTGGAGTAATGAAGTTATAAGCCCAATATAAAGGAAATGAGACGATATTTGCATTCATTTAGTTTTGTTTCTTGGTAATAGACACAAAGTTAGTTTAAGGACAAAGTTGAAGAGATTGGTTAAAATAAAATAAATTATTAGTTTGTACACTTTGTTCTCATAATTTAATGCCATTAAAATTGACATGTCAGTGTTTACATTCAATATACAATAGTGTTTTTTTCCTTGAAAACTTACTAAATAACACCTTAAAAATGTATGGCATCTTAGCTGGACATGGGGAAACATATTTGTAATCACAGTAACTTGAGAGGCTAAAGCAGGAGTAATGCAAGTTCAAAGCCAGCCTCAGCAACTTAGTGAGACCTTAAGCAATTTAGTGAGACCCTGTCTAAAATAAAAAAATTAAAGAGAGCTGGGGATGTGACTCAGTGGGTAAGCATCCCTAGGTTCAATCCCTGGTACCAAAAAAAAAAAAAAAAAAAAAAGTGTTCAATTCCTGGATACTTTATACACTTGATAGAGACTTTGAACTTGTTATTTACCTGAGAAGATAATTCTGAGAAGTTAAGATTATTGTCTGTATGTATTATAGTTACATTATCTAACATACATTCCTGTTTAATTTGAAATTTAGTTTACTGGTTTTGGAGGTAATATCTACATTACATTTTTTTAAAGAGATAGAAAAAAATGATAGTCTAATATTTAGAAATTTTTCTGAGAATTTCCCACATTTTGATAACAGGGATCTTTATAGGTTACTCCTATTTTCTAACGTAGGGTTATATAATTGTACGATGCTGATGATACTCAGCACTGTAAAACACTATAGAACTTTCAGGGTTATTGAAAACAAAACACTGGGCTGGAGTGTTGGGTCACTCACTGAGTGTTGGCTCAGTGGTAGAGCACTTGCCTGGCATGTGTGAGGCCCTGGGTTCCATCCTCAGCACCGCATATAAATACATAAATTAAAAAAGAGATCCATTTAAAACTAAAAGAAAAAAATTAAGAATAACACAAAGTATAGTTTTATAATCAGTATATTGTATTTTTATTTTAAAAAATTGTTAATTCATGCATGATGTACTTGATACGCTCAGTAATAATAACCTAAATAACTTATTGTACCCCAGGCATTCTAAAAATTTTATACTTATTTTGGGATATTTTTAAATAGCATTATCTCAGGAGACGAACTTACTGGTTTATCAGTGGGACTCTCAAAACATGGGAGGTGGTGGTGGTGAGCCTGTGTTGGCTTTTTTGTGCTAAAGACAGTTTTACCTAACGTAATTATGAAAAAAGTTGTCTGTGAAATACATTGGTCTCAGTAGGTGACATAGGTGGCTTTAACTTTAGTATAATAAAAGTTAATCAGTTTGGGGTACAGATGATTGATACATCCGTTGCAATAATGTCTTAATTTTTTTAAGGACCAACTATAGAACTGCGCCAAAGAAAAAAGCCAAAGTCTTCAGAAAATAAGGAGTCTGCCAAAGAAGAGAAAATCAGTGTTACTCCTGTTCCTGAAAGAGCTCCAAAACGTAAGTTAGGTAGATGTAGAGTTTTTGTATTACTACAAAAATAGTTATGCCAGGAAGTATGTTTTAATATTTTAAGTATGTGAATGTATTTGAGATTAAGTATATGGTTAATGCTTTGCTTTGTGGTATATGTTTTGTATGTGGTTAACGTTAAGTTTTGCTTTCATTAGGAAATAGCCCCTAATGTCCTTGCCTTATGACTAACATTTATTTCTGATTTATAATACATGTCGTGGCCACAGGTTGACCAGTATAGCTACATGTGTCATGAAAGAACAAGTCCTGTTTGGAACATGTTTTTGGGGGGACAGAGGAAAGAGCAGGAGAGTAGGTGATGATGTCTCTTAAAGTTTCTGCTGAACTGGCAGTCACTTGTTCTCTCATTCTTTCGGCAAGTTATAGTCAATCCTGACAATGGGACACCGAAGTATACTGATTACAGGGAAGCAAGTCAGATGGTAGTAGGCAGAAATGTAAAATCTTTTTCTTTTTCTTCATGTATTTATTTTGTCCTGCTGAGGATTGAACCCAGGGCCTTGTGCATGTTTAGCTCTACGAAGCTACTCTCTTAACCTCTGTATTCTTTTTATAGGGAAGGAAAAAAATAATTGGGAAGAATAATATACCATGCAGTCTTTTTGGTCATAAAAATTGATTTCATTCTTTCAGAGTACATTTGCTATTTCTCTTACCCTAAGGAAGACACTCAGTCTTATCTCCTTTTAGCATCAGTCTTGAAGCCCAAGGTCTTCTTATCTACATCTGGGCCAGCTATGACTCCTTCTGAACCTAAGACCAATGAACTAAAAAGACAAGTTATCTACTTTGTGTAAGGGTTCCCAAGACCACCCTCATGCTTGGTGATTAGCTTGAAGGACTCACAGATTGCAGAATATAGTTGCATGTACAGCTGTGATTTATTATAGTGAATCATACAAAACAAATCAACAAAAGGAAAAGGTCTGTGGACAACATAGAAAGCAGGCACAAGCTTCCAAAATTCCTCTCCTAATAGAGTCACAGAAAATATACTTGATTTCTTTAGTGTCAGCTTGTGATGTTTGTTAAATTTTGTCAACCATTTCACTGCTTGGTTTTTACTGGGGGCTTATCTGTAGGTAACCTCTGCCTGCCACTTACCAAAATTCTAAAGTCCCAGAAGGAAAGTATAAATCTCATTATACTAATAGAGTAGGTGTGGTAAACCATCCTTATTGTTAGAACTCGCATGATATCTAAGTTCCCAGTTGTTAGCTGAAAGCCTACCTTGCAAACATGCCCTTATGAAAGCATTCTCAGGCCTTTTGTATTAACTCTGTACATGCCCCCGCAATATTGCACAGGGTCAGGATAAACAAAATAAATGCTTCCATTTGAAAGGAAGAGAGGGAGCCACTGGTTCATAGCTCTTCTGAAATTGTACTAAACAAATGAGATTTCCTTACCCTGGGGTATGGAATGTTTTGTGATTATGTCTCAGTTGTGACTTTGAGTTGCTTTCAGTTCATTGTTCTCCATGGCCCTTGACCTCATTCTCTGGAGGTTCTTCTTTTTTCATGTCTTGCATATCTAAAAATGGCATTGGAGAATATGTCATCCTTAGCAGCTGAACAGATTGCTCACATTCCTGCTTTTAGAAACTTAAGTCTTTGCATGTCTACATACATATATACACATGTGTATGTGTATAGGTATACATATATATAAATATATGCATACATATATACACACACATACATATATATGGACTCAAGTAAGATGAAAGCAGTGGGTCATCCACAGATCTAGGTCAGGGGCTGGCAGCAAGAAAACTGTTTTTGGAAACTAGAAAAATAAAAGATCCATGTTAGGGCTAGGGATATAGTTCAGTTGGTAGAGTATTTGCCTCACATGCACTAGGCCCTGGGTTCAATCCCCAGCACCCCCCCCCCCCCACACACACACACACAGATCCATGCTACACAGTGGCAGAACATTTGGTAATACTATTTCCCGTAATGTTGCATTTGTAATATGAATTTTTAAAAATCATACCTGTAGGAAAGTGATCAGTTTGGGGCAGAATTGACTTATTTGCAACTGGGAAGTCTGAGGCTCCAAATATTCTCAAACTTGTAGTGTTGAAGTTAGAACTGTTTATCTTTTTCAAACAATAAGATATAAAATCAAGCCAGGTTTGGTGGTGCACACCTGTAATCCCAACAACTCAGGAGGCTGAGGCAGCCTTAGCAACCTAGTAAGGCTCTAAGTAATTTAGTGAGACCCTGTCTCAGAAAAAATAAAATAAAATAAAAAGCTAGGTATGTAGTTCAGTGGTTAAGTGCCCCTGGGTTCAATCCCTAGTACTCCCAACACTTCCCCCTAAAAAATCAAGAAATGAAGTTATCCATATTTATGAATATCAATAGTTCATTCCTTCTTATTGATTAATAGGTTTTTGTTTTTTTTGTGGTGCTGGAGATTGAACCCAGGGCCTTGTGCATGTGAGGCAAGTTCTCTACCAACAGAGCCATATCCCCAGCCCCTCATTGTTTTAATAGACCTTTTTTGTTTCTCCATTTTGCTTTTGTTCAACCTTTGGGTTGTTTCTAGTATCTATTATGAATACTGATACTATGAACATTCTTATAAGTCTCTTGGTAGACGTATGATTTCATTACTCTTAGATAAATACCTAAGAAAAGAATTGCTAGTTAAGTTTTTATTGTTGTTATGTTGCATATTTTTTTTAAAGAGAGAGAGAGAGAGAGACATAGAGAAAATTTCAATATTTATTTTTTAGTTTTTGGCGGACACAACATCTTTGTATATGGTGCTGAGGATTGAACCCGGGCCGCATGCATGCCAGGCGAGCGCGCTACTGCTTGAGCCACATCCCCAGCCCTTGTTGCATATTTTTAATTTGATTTGTAGACAGGATCTCACTTGCTCTGTTGCCCAGCTGGCTTGAAACTCCTGGGTTTAAGCGATGTTCCTCAGCCTCTTGTAGTAGATAGTACTATATGACCTGTTAAATTTGGGGGGCTGTATCGTCAAAAGACTGCTAGCCTAGATTAGAAACCATAACTCTTTAGGTTTTTTTTTTTTTGGTACTGGGATGAGCCACATCTCCAGCCCTTTTTTTTAATTTTTTTTTTTATTTTGAGACAGGTCTCCTTAAGTTGCTTAGGACCTTGCTAAGTTTCTGAGGCTGGCTTTGAACTTATGATTCTCCTGCCTCAGCCTCCCTAGCCACTGGGATTATAGGCATGTGCCACCATGCCTGGTGTCTTTTTTTTTTTTTTTTTGGTACCATGTGAACCCAAGGGCACTTAACCACTGAGCCAAATCTCTAGCCCTTTTTTTTTTTTTTTTTGAGACAGGGTCTCACTAGGTTGCTTATGGCCTCATTAAGTTACTGAGGCTGGCTTTGAACCTGTGATCCTCCTGCCTCAACCTCCTGAGCCTCTGGGATAACAGGTGTGTACTACCGCACCCTGGCATGTTTGGCTCCTTTAGGTTTTAAAATGACATATTAGTCTCTTACTGTTTTTATCCAGAAAGCATGGTGAGTAAGCTGCTCTTAGATTTCCTAAGAGGGAATGATTTATTATGCTCTTTGAAGTAAAGAGATTGCAGATTGTTGGTTACCTTTTTATTATTTTTTAATGTTTATGTTCTGCTCTAAAAGTGAATTGTACAATCCCTTTTGTTGCCATGTGATTCAAACTGCCTCTCTAAGGCACAGTGTACTTCCCTGTCCAATTGTCGGACGAATGATGTGACTGGCCTGGGCCAATGGAATGTGAGTATACTAGTACTGAGCAGAAAACCTGACAACTTTCCTCTGTTCCTCTGTTGTGAAAACAGTATGTCCCTAACTAGGGACTGATTCTAGTATGGAACTCAGAAGAAGATAAAAGGAAAAGCTAGATGCAGTGGTGCACTCCTATAATCCCAGTGGCTCAGGAGGCTGAGACAGGAGGATCACGGGTTCAAAGCCAACCTCAGCTATGTCGAGGCACTAAGCAACTCAGTGAGACCCTGTCTGTAAATAAAATACAAAATAGGGCTGGGAATGTGGCTCAGTGGTTGAGTGTCCCTGAGTTCAATCCCCAGTATCCACCTCTCAATCCTCTGAAAAAACAGATATAAAAAGAGCCAGAGGTAACATGAAGTCTGAAATTGAGTGGCAGCCTAAAATAAAGTTATTGCTAACTTGGAAATCCATTATAACATAAATAAGAAAAAAGCCTTTGTTTTGGAAGGCACTGGTGGTTTGGGGTTGTTTTTAGTGTTATGTCAGCAAAGCTGACACATAGAGTAGTCACTTTAAAAAAATTGGAAAATACAATATAAGAAAATTAAATAAATCCAGAGATCTACTACAAGTAGTATTTTGCCCTGACTGTACATAGGGTAGTAAATGTGAACCACAGAGAAAACAACAATAAAAATAAAATATATCCATAATTTCACTAGAACTACTTTTAACATTTTGGCATAAGAGTGGGGAGATGGCTTAGTGAAAGATCATATGCTTCGCATGTGCCGGGCCCTGGGTTTGCTCCCCAGGATCAAAACAATTTTTTTTTTTCGCATAAGTATTGCTTATCTTTTTTTTCTGTGTACCTACTTCATTTTTAACAGTTTTTGTGAGATTGAGTCCTGTGTTTCTTTTAATGTTATTCACTTTTACGGTATATTGTTTATCAGTGCTCAATTGTATTGATGTTGACATGTATATCATCTTTTTCTCCTTTTCTGTGCTTGATCACCGTTTTACAAATGAAGGAAATGGCATAGAAATTATATTGGCTGCTTTCTGACTGACAATTTAAATGGAAGTCAGATCCTTTACTTTTCAATTTTTTAATTAAAATTGTAATTTTTAAAGATAATATCCAGGGCCTTAGAGCTCTTTATTTTCTGTAAATCATACACTTATATCAAACACTGAAAATTTGGTGTTTCTTCCATCTTTGATTCCTTACAAAAGCAAAATATTTAGTATTAAGGCATTCAAGTATAGATATTGGTTGAATATAGTTTTTTTTTTTTAATAGCCTCTAATAAATATGATTAATTTGCTGTTTTGTAAGTCTTCTAGTTGTCATTGTTGTGCTGGGGCTCAAACCCAGGGTGCCTTCCACATACAAGGCAAACACTATACCACTGAGCTGCATTCCCCAGCCCCTGTTGTTCAAGACTTGAAAAAAAATAAAATAGGAAAGTACACATTTAGAAATCTTGAAACACTTTTCTTTTTTTGTTTGTTTTTGTGGTGCTGGGGCTTGAACCTAGGGCCTTGTGCATACAAGGAAAGCACCAACTGAGCTATATCCCCAGCCCTGAAACACTTTTTCTTATTAGTTTTTTTTTTTTTAATGTTTATTTCTTAGTTGTAGTTGGACACAATACCTTTATTTTATTTTATTTATTTTTATGTGGTGCTGAGGATCGAAACCAAGTCCTTGCATGTGCTAGGCGAGTGCTCTACTGCTAAGCCACAACCCCAGCCCTTCTTATAAGTTTTTTTAGTTCATATTGTCAACATTGCTTTAAGTACTTCATATATTTTTGTAAGTATGCTTTTGTAGCACAATAATAATAGCTGCTATTTGCTATGATCTTAACATGTACCAGGCACCATGCCAAATGCTATTGGAAGTAGGATGCACACATGCTATTAGAAATAGGAATTTTTAAAACAATTTGTGTCATACTTACAGTAATATTTGATATATTGGGTAGTGTTTCTTAAACTTTTAAAATATTCTTTTTAATTTAGTGACATCTAATTATTCTGTTTGAGAAATAACATTTAGAGAATAGCTAAGGCTTTTTTTTTTTTTTAAGCTAAGGAATTTTTAAAAAACTTATTCATTTATTTATTTTTTGTGGTTCTGGGATCAAACCCAGGGCCTCACACATGCTAAGCAACCACTGACATATACTCTCAATCCTAATTTTTTTTTTTTTGTGTGTGTGTGTGTGTGTTGGGAATTGAAACTAGGGGTGCTTTACCACCAAGCTACATCCTTTAGCCCTTTTTATTTTTTATTTTGAGACAAGATTGTAAGTTGCTGTTTTACAAATGCTAAGGTTGACCTTAAGCTTCTAATCCTCCTGCTTTAGCCTCCCAAGTGGCTGGAATGACAGGTGTGCACCATGGCTTTCGGCTTCAACTCCATGATTTTTGTTTAGCTAGTCAAGTAAATCAAGAAGTTTATTTGTACAAACTTGTAGCTCATTGAGTAATAGAACACTGGGATGTAGGCACTTAATGGTTATAGCTAGCAGGATTGAATCGTCTCTGTACAAAATTCAAATGTGTTTTATGCTGTGTCCTCAACATATATGTAACAGTTGCATGTGATTTTTTAAAACATAGTCATTAAAACTCATTGAATTATACACTTTAAAGGACTGTAGCTTAGCCTGGTGCAGTGGTACACACCTATAATCCCAGCAACTCAGGAAGCTGAGTCAGTATTGCAAGTTAAAGACCAGTTTATCAATCTAGCGAGGCCCTAAGCAACTTAGGGATTTAGTCAGTGATACAGTACCCTGTGTTCAATTCCAGGTACCAAAAAAAGGTGTGTGGAGGGCTGCTTTCTATAGTATATGAGTAATTTATGTACTTATGTATGTATTTATTGGTACCAGGGATTGAACCCAGGGGTGCTTAACCACTAAGCCACATCACCAGCCGTTTTTTATATTTTATTTAGAGACAGGGTCTCACTGAGTTGCTTAGCACCTCGCTTTTGCTAAGGCTGGCTTTGAACTTAAAATCCTCCTGCCTCAGCCTCCTGAGCCGTTGGGATTATAGGCATGTACCACTGTACCCAGCTTATGATATATAAGTTATTCTTAAAAAAAAATTTCCAACATGGAAAAAGTATATCAGTAAAATATTTCAAGAGTAATTCTGAATGAATCTGTATTCTTTAGATAATTGGCTCCTATGTTTCTTATCATTCTTTTTTAAATTAATGGATGTTAATATTTTTACTATATTTACCATTTTTAAGTTTATGATTTTATAGTGTTAATTATTTACCTTGTTGTGAACCAGATCTCTAGAACTTTTTCATCTTGCAATATATAGGTTTTAATTTAAATTTAAATTAAATTTAATTTAATTTTTTAAAAGTTTTTTAGCTGTAGTTGGACACAATATCTTTATTTTATTTATTTTATGTGGTGCTAAGGATCAAAACAAGTGCCTCGCATGTGCTAGGCAAGCACTCTGCTGCTGAGCCACAACCCCAACCCTAGGTTTTAATTTTTTAAACCAGTTTAGATTACAGAAGGGGCTGGGGATGTGGCTCAAGCGGTAGCGCGCTCGCCTGGCATGTGTGCGGCCCGGGTTTGATCCTCAGCACCACATACAAACAAAGATGTTGTGTCTGCCAAAATCTAAAAAAAAAAAAAAAAAAAATATTAAAATTCTCTCTCTCTCTCTCTCACTCTCCCTTAAAAAAAAAAAAAAAAAAACGGGCTGGGGATGTAGCCCACTGGTCAACCCCCCTGAGTTCAACCCCCAGCAAAAAAAAAAAAAAAAAAAAAGAACACATGCATGCTCTAGAAAAAAAAAAAAGATTACAGAAGAATTGAGCTGAGTACAAAGTTCCCATATTTCAACCTCCCACACAGGGAGTTCACCTTATTCTTAACAATTTGCATTAATGTTGTACATTTGTTAGAATTAATAAACCAATATTGATACGTTTTATATATATACATTATGTATATATTAATAAAAGCTTATAATTTATTCGAATTTCCTTAATTTTTACCTAATGTTGTTCTTCTTTTTAACTAATATTGTTTTCTTTTTTCTCATATAGGATACTACATTGCATTTAATTATCATGTCTTGTTAGGCTCCTCTTGTCTATGACAGTTCCTTAGACTTTTCTTGTTTTTGATGACCTTAACAGTTTTTAGGAGTACTAGTCAGGTATATTGTAAGATATTCCTTTATTGGATTTTATCTGATTTTTTTTTTTATGATTAGACAGGGATTATGAGTTTTTGGAAAGAAACCATTGAGTTAGAATGCCATTTTCATCACATCATAACAAGGGTACATATACCTTTTGATTATCTTTAATGTGTTTTTTCAGATGTGTTATTTCAACGTTTTGCAAAGATTTTCATTGGCTGTCTTGCAGCAGTTACTAGTGGTATGATGTATGCTCTCTACTTATCAGCTTACCATGAACGGAAATTCTGGTTTTCCAACAGACAGGTAAGAATAAAAAATTTTGAGCATATGAAAGATGTTTTAGTATATAATATTAATTTCAGTAATGTGTTTTCCTGTTTTTTTTTTTTTTTTTTGTTTTGTACTAGGTGTTGAACTGAGGGGCTCTTTACCACAGAGCTACATCTCCAGCTTTTTTCATTTTTTTATTTTTGAGACAGAGTCTCAATAAATTGCTTAGGGTCTCTTTAGTTGCTGAGGCTGGCTTTGAACTTGCAATCCATCTGGCTTAGTAATGCTTTACTAAGTATGACAAGTGCTCTTATTTATGACTATCAGAAACAAAATTTTAAGGTCCACAGTCACAGTGTGAACCTTAAAATATGTAACAAGATATTTTATACAATAGGAACTATGAGGGGTTGGGGTTATGGCTCAGCGGTAGAGTGCTTGCCTAGCATGTGCGAGGCCCTGGATTTGATCCTCAGTACCATGTAAAAATGAATAAAACAAAGGTATTGTATCCAACTACAACTAAAAAAATAAATTAATTAAAAGAAAAAAAGAATAGGAACTATGAGGGTGCTTTCCTTGTGCAATTAATCTATCCAGGACTATTCTAGAAAAACTTGGTCGGAGTGTATGAGAACTGGCTGTAAGATGTCATGAAACCAAAGAAAGAGGCAGGCAGGTCCAAGATTGCACAGAGGACGATTTATTAGGGGACTTATGTATAGGAGTTTGTCTTGGGCAGCAGCAAGACAGATCTTTGTGATATGAAGCAAAGGGAGCAGGCTTACGGGTCAGGACAAAAGTGACTCCATCCCCTTCAGAATGTACGTGGTCTATCTCAAACTAACATAGAGGATTTAAAATATATTGCTGGCACTTAAAAAACCAGGGTCCTCACATTGTAAAGTTCCACTTATCATTCTATCTGTATATAGTGTGCTGGAGAATTATGTGGGAAAAACAAACCAGGGTTATTCAAGAGCAATCATGATGGTTCTTTTAAATGGCTCTAGTCAGGTCAAGCTGAATTCCTACAGGGACTTTTTTTGGCAGGGTGTGTGTGTGCTAGGGATTGAACTCAGGGGCACTCGAGCCACATTCTCAGTCCAATTTTTTGTATTTTATTTAGAGACAGGGGTCCTATTGAGTTGCTTTTTGCTGAGGCTGGCTTTGTACTTGCGATCCTGGATCCTCCTATCTCAGCCTCCCGAACCTCTGGGATTACACTACCTGACCCCACAGGGACTTTTATTTTTTTAATTTTATTTATTTATTTTGTGGTGCTGGGAATTGAACCCATGGCCTTGTGTATGCACTTTACCAACTGAGCTGTATCCCCAGCCCTCTACAGGGACTTTTTTTTTTTTTTTTAACCATATGATTTATTTTTATTTTTTTTAGTCATACATGACAGCAGAATGTATTTTTTTTTAAAGAGAGAGAGAGAGAGAGAGAGAGAGAGAGAATTTTTTTAATATTTATTTTTTAGTTTTTGGCGGACACAACATCTTTGTTTGTATGTGGTGCTGAGGATCGAACCCGGGCCGCACGCATGCCAGGCGAGCGTGCTACTGCTTGAGCTACATCCCCAGCCCCAGAATGTATTTTGACATATAATACATACGTGGAATGTACATACATCAATCATAATGTCTATTCTATTCTGCTGCCCTTCCTATCCCCCTACTCCTCCCCTCCCCTCCCATCATTTCTCTCTATCCAGTCTAATGTGACACACTTTTTTTTTCTTTTTCTCATTACAACATCATACATGTATTCTGTATAACAATGAGTTTCTCCTTCCATCTCCGTGCAACTCCCCTTCTCCCTCCTTTTCCCTCCCACCTCTCTTCCCTTTTTAGTGGTAGTCTTCTTCTCATGCTCTTCCTCCCTATCCCATTTTGAGTCACCCTCCTTATATCAGAGAAGATATTCAGCATTTGTTTTTTAGGGATTGGCTAACTTCACTTAGCATAATCTGCTCTAATGCCATCCATTTGCCTGCAAATGCCATGATCTTGTTATTTTTTAGTGCTGAGTAATATTCCATTGTGTATAAATGCCACAG